TGATTCCGCACCAGAGGAATACAAGAAACTTGCCGAGCGGTGTTGTGATGCTGATCCTGATAAGCGTCCAGATGCATTGACACTTTTTGGTGACATTCGCGACCTTATTTATGATGGAGGTACTTCTAACAGCAACGCGTGGAATACCATCTATTATAATGATGTAAACCCCATATCACGTCTCGAAAAGGAGAGTAAATATTCCAGTACACTCTACCTACTAGAGATTTGCCTAAACCAAGAAACAGTTCTCAACAGTTACCTCCACTATCAGATTTCAGCTTGGACATTGAGTTAGAGGAGGTAGACGAGATGTAGGGATCCGTGACGGATATGAAAGACAACAATTGCTCACATGTGAATACGAATATAAACAAAGTTGCCTTATAATAATTTGTGGTAGTACAATCGATTGCGAATATCTACGGAAACTTGTATAACCTGTACTTTTCCTAATTAGTCTGGTAGTGCACAATGCTTTGGCGGAAATTAAATAAATCGTACTCGTGGTATATATTAATATGGCAGTACAAGTATGTACCCGGCTTATCATGATGGTTATCGTTATTGATTCAAACGTTTCCATGCAATCGCTTTACACCCCAGAAAACTTTGCTATCATGTTTTCATAACGAGATGGTAAATGCAACAAGCGTTGCAAGCATTTAGTCCAGTGTACGTCAACTGCATTTTTTATTACATGAATATGCTAAGCATATAGCAACGCGTTTTAGCGTGAATCCTGTTTTTACACTTGTATGTATATATTTATAGATATAATATATAGCTACCGGAGATCACGATCGCTTCTCCAGTGTCAATTCTCTCACTGTACAATAACGGAATTCATCCATCACCACCACATTCTCACCACATACCCACGCCACCAAACCCCCTCACCAAGTTTCTCTTAAATCCCAGCCATTTCATTCGGTTTTCCCGCATTCCCACTAGTCACTTGCATTCCTGTTCCTTTCTAGGATTCCCCCAGCAGCGACAACCTCGCTCGCAACCTTTCTAGCTAATGCCATTCTAATGTCTTCAGCACCATCCAAACTCAATCTTCCACCACCCGCAACACCCACTGACCCACCACCACTTATCCCACTCGCAGACGACGCACTGGCACTTCTCTGCATCAAAGTTGCAGGTTTAGGCATCAATGGCGGTGGCGCTGCTGATCTTATCTCATCCAATGATCTACGCGCCGGTAGCGTAGGAGCATACGTCGACGACTTGATCGTCGGTGAAACAGCTGACGATGTCCTTGCATGCTGTTTTGACGTTGGCGGTTTTGGTAATGGTGGTGGGTCACTCTTGGAAGAGTGACGATTGTACGGTTTATCGGATTCTGGTGCGCCAAACATTTTCTTTGCCCCGGTTCGCCAACTACGGCGTTTATTTGATGTTGGGCTACTTACCATTATTGCGTCTGGGTAGATGCGGTAGGAATCTTCGCGAGTATCGCTTTCGTCCGATTTACGATCCCGGTCTCTGTCGACTGTTTTCAGTTTATCCTTTTCTCTATCTTGTGATTTATCCAAACTACTTCGTGGTCCGAATAGGACTCGATTAACCATATCGGTAAGATTTCTCTTATCCTTATCTTTCTCTTTGACATCTTTCTCGTTAAAAGCAACGGCTCGTTCCAATTTAGCTGCTACAGTGTCACCGCTATCTTCCATGCTGTTGGGTCGGGAATCACCACTCCCGCCTGAACTTGTCCGCCCTATTTCACTTGTTGTAACAGTACTTGTGCTCTCAGAATATGGATTAGACACCAGGCTACTTGACAAGCGTCCACCACTGTTCCTCTGAGAGGAGGAACTAGTATTACCGTTCCTGTTTTTAGGTGGCTCACGTAATATACTTAGTTCATCAACACTTTTTTCAGGCATCCATGGTCTAATTAATAAATAATGTGTAATCAGACATTGTTTTTCTTCAAGTGTTTCGTCGTCGTCTTCGTTTCTCTTGTATCCACCACGATATAGAGCAGCACTAAGACTAGCAGTGCGGAAGTGTGAATTGTGTTTAGTTGACGATTTAACGTAGGGCGTTGGTGGCGTGGGCGAAAACTTGGGCCCAGTTTGATAACGATGCATTGTTTGTAAAAGTTCTTGCACACGAGGATCATCTCTTGCTGCTACTATGTTTGGCGAAGAAGGAGAAGATACGTTAGTTGAGCTTGGTGTCGGAGGTGGTCCATTACCAGGTTGACTTGCCCCAGATTGAGACTGAGACTTGACTGCGGCTAAAAGGTATGTAGCATCCATGATAAATGTTCCTAAAAAAGGCACTATTGCTCTCCGTGCAAATCCCTCTTTCTGTATGAATTCGCGGTATTTCTGATAATTTCTTGCTTCGCTCATCAGCTCATTCAATGTCTCTAATTTAGTTGTGCTCTTCTTTGGAATGCATGTCCAAGTACGTTTAAGTCTCATAATAGGCGGTGTACCGAGTGCCGACAATATAGCTTTTAGTGTTTGATAATTTTGTAATTCGTTCAATTTAACTGCTACTTTGACCCAATGATGAATAATTTGAGCTCTCGTTGCTGCTTCTGTAGGGGACAATATTGTCAACTCGACTAGCCGAGTAAGATAGTTGAAAAAGTCCGTTGATGCAGTTATCTTTGTATCGGGTGTTTTGAGTGAATGGGTTAACAGTGCTGCGGGATCTATCTCTAAAAATATTGCTGATTCGATAAGTGTCAATTGATATGCAATCAAGTAGGGTGGGAACTGTAAAGCATCAAACTCAACGGCTGCCTTTTGAACAAGCTTATGTGTCTTTGTAATCGCTCGTCTTGAGGCAGCCAGTGTAGTATTGAATTCTTTAATAGCATCCGATATCTCTTCATCACTTAAATCGGATAGTAATTGTCCTTTATCGTCTTTAATACCTACCCCGGATTCTCTATCCTTGGATACAGCCCGATATTCAGCTATCTTTGTTTCTAATGCTCTTATTTTTTGTTCCAATCGTGAATTTGATGTTAAAAGAGGCGATGCAGGAATTTTCGGCACATGATCAGTAAAAGTTATTGATGTAGGCGAACTTGGATCTCGCATATTGTGAATGTCTGTAATAACTGTGGCTTCGGCCATGTTTGTGGGATCAACAGCTCCCTCCGGATATACCGTCTTACATGGTACGCTTGACTTTTCGTACAAAAATGACAATGGATGAGAATTTGACTGGTTCATCGATGCATAATATGATGTTGGTGGTGACGATGCTGCGTGAGAGGAGCTCGGCGACTCTTCATCTGTTTGCGAGTCGGTAACCGAGTCAACTACTGGTGAATCCTTTCTGATGATTATGGATAGATTGGGTGATGCCGAACGTCGACGAGATGTATCCGATGAGACCTTTAGATTGCTGTCAGATCTCGAGTACGTTCCTATGTAATAAACAGGAGCGATAGCGAGTCAGAATAGTGAAATATAAAAATCAATTAGGCAACATTCTGTTTGAAGCGATTGATATAGTTGGCAATAAAGAAACTGTCTAATAATAGTTATAAATTCCACCACTAGTAATGACACTTGTATGTACAGGTAACTAGCAAGACATAAAGGTCAGAGACTCTTTGACTTTCGCCGACGCATAGATATGTCGACACTATACATGTCCTTGTCTTATCTATAATATTATTTGCATTGTCTGATATTTGACTTGCTACACCGGGAATTTTAAATGTTTGCTCGCAACACATACCTTGTCCTGAATCCTCGTCTTCATCATCCGAATCCGAATCCGAATTATCAGTATCGTTATCAGTATCTTCACCACCACCTTCATCCACATTATCAGAATCATTTGCAGTAACGGTTGTTGTAGCCGCAGCCTGTGCTTCAAACTCCCTTAATATCTTTCTTACACTTCCCGTTCTTGTTGGTTTTGGAGGTAAAGGTGGTTTAGTAGGAGGTGATGATGATACGCTATATGATTGTCTGGGAGATGAAAGTGGAGAAGGAGTAGATCTGCGCATTGGCTTTGGCGGTATGGGAGGTGCTCTGGGAGATGTGGCAGTGTCGGTGATATGATCTTCTTGCGATGGTGTTGGTGGATAAATAGCAATATTGAGGTTTGCATTTTTTCTAGACGTTAATATTGACGATTGGTTTTTGTTTATAATGTCTTCTGCGTAGGCTAGGCATGCTTGAAGTGTTTTGAATATTGATGGAACTGACGGTGGCTTCGATGTCACGGCTGTCATTTGAGGAGTTTTTAATTTATGGAGAAAAAAAAAAGAAGTATTAGCAACGATCATATGCGGAGAACTTTTTCATTTCCGACTAGTCGAATCTCTACATTCTCCTTGTAACAACATTTTTCAGATAAACGTGCCGAGCCGATTCGTTCTGTCGTCTCTTTTCTGATCAGGTAGAGTAAACTTACCGTTATTTACAAATTTTATCGAATGCAGTTCCTTCGAGGCCACGTCAAGTGCACCTATATAAGTGAAATATGCATCCTGTATCAACGGGCAGACAAAGCGAGCGGGGAGTTATTGTCAATACACGTCCAAGACATAGTTTTCATGTAGACGTTGTTTGCTAGGAGTTGGCATGTTTAGGAAGCATACTCACCTTTACGTTTCCACTTGATAACTGTTCGGCGGCTCTAACACAAACTTGTTGAATTTCCTCCATGACTAAAGAGGCACTATTTCTTTTATTGTTCTTTATTTCTTGCCTCTACTAATTTGACTAGATTCAAGACTAGTAGAGGTATAGATTTCGTGTAATAAGTTTTTGTTTCGTTACAGTCAAACGGTATTGTATATTCGCTTGCAGCACGTCGTCGATGAGAGTGAAAAGTGTAAGATAACATGAGAATTTGATCGTCCCTCAGACAGCGTAAGTCATAATCGTCAAGACGAAGTGCTATAGTTCGCCGCTTCTTTCAGGTTTATTTTTTTAGATATTTTTATTTTAGTCTGAGTATGTTGACAGTACTTTATAAATATGTATATATGAGAGTATATATATGTGTGTATATATATAGTTTGGAAATCAAGGAGATTTCCGTAACGAGACTATTTACAAGAGAAGAAAAAGTAAAAAAGATAACGAGGAACAGAAAGTGAGTGGATTATAGGCAAGGTTGGGAGCATTTTATGGCGAGTGTTGTGTTTGTACATCACATCACGGTCATCGTCACCATATTACAAAGGAGCATATTAATATTGTGATATGCCGAGTAGAAATTCGGAATTAATTTAATTTTTTCTTCGCGTTAAAATAAACACAGTCCGGAATATGTTATATCGAATAGGCAAAGTTTAAAATTACACCTGGTTGGGACATGCTTTGTACATATTTGTAGTACTTACGTTCTCAAGGGCGTACAACTGATTGGTGCCATGTTTATTAGTGGCAAAGAAGATTCACCTGAAAATGCACAGGATGGCTTTTTCCTCTTTGGGGGTAGGATAGCGTGAAGATTGCACATTGACAGAATGATTGTGAAGTCATAATTTGGCAATGTAGGTATGGCAATGGTTCAGAATAGCAGGATATGGCATGGGCATGGCATGGGCATGGGCATGAGCATGAATGAGTCCGTTACGAAGAGTAGTCTGCCATTATATCTGTATATTGCCCACTTGATTTCATATTCCGGGTATGTCTTTTTAATTACCGATGCTGATCATGCTATTATTTGGATTATTGTCTAGTAATGGATATGAAGCGGTTATTGGTACTCGAATGAGGTTCGGCCTTTTTTTTTTTTTTCCCAGAAGGAAGGCAAAAAAGAAGAGATGCGATGGACATGATTGATGCTCATTGTTATTTGGGCGTAATGGAAAAAAGCGCCAGCCAAAAAGCCAAAGCTTGCTTTTTTTATTGTCTCTTTGATGACTTGTTTATTGTTTAATTCGTTATTATGTTCCGATTCGTGCCGACTATGGATTAGACTAGGGCAAGGCTGAGAAAAAATAACTATTTAAAATATCCATTATATCGGTTACAAAAGCTGTCGGTTTTTCCATAATTCCGTCAAAAATTCTACTTCTGCGCTGGGAAAGGGGATAAAAGGGCCGAGTTTACCGAATTGAGTGAGATAGTGATAGTGCGAGGGTGCTGTCCGTGTACTGTTACGGTTACGGTTGCGGTTGTGGTTACGGTTACGACGGTTACGGTTACGCTCGCACCAACCATAGCCAAGCGATTTGGGACGGAAATCAAATGTTCTCGCTTCCGACCGCTTTCAAGACGATATGCATACTAGATAAGATTCAATGCTCACTTTGGTACATCACACGACCTCCCACATGCCTTGCATTTGGCATCTCCAATTGACGGCAATGTTTTGGAACACTGCGGTCTATTATTGGTTTATGCTTTATTATCCGTATGCTTTGGGCTATTTATGGAACAAGAGGGACAATGTCAACTCGAAAGAATTACCTTCTGTCAAAAATATCCCGATTATCGCAAGAATTGTACAAGATCATCTTTGTGACTATCAACATCTCTTTTCTATATATTCATAGGAAATAAACCATGATGGACAATGCACAAGCCCCAACTCTAATAATATTCAGGAGCTGAAATCCCTAACGTGAACTGCAAAAGGGGTTGCAAAAAAGGGGTCGCAAAGGGGGGGTTCTGAATTGTCTATTCAACGAAAAGAGCGCGAAAAAAAAAAAAAAAAAACTCAACCGTCCAATTAAATATAATGCTCGTATGTAATATGCTCATCTAACCGTTCGATAAATAAACACTCCCCCCACCTCTTTCTTTGTATGTATTACAAACATCTTTGAGTTTTAAAGCGAAACGTAAAGATAAAAGGTATTGTGCTAGGGTACAGCCCGCCCTTTTCTTTGACGGCCTATCATTAATGACGTAATAAACCTCGTGTGATGAGACCCGACTTTCTATATGTGAATACTCTTATCTCTCTGTAAGGCTCTCATGTGACTTGTTATTCTTATGATAGCACTTACCAATCTTTTGTCCAAAGATGGCGCCAATGAGATAATCAATCATTGTTTCTCCTCTCCTCTTCCCCCCATCATGTCCCAAATATCCATTCTAATAGGTGAGACTGCAACAGGTATGACCCCCATCGGACAATTGCTGCCATTTTGAGAAACTTCCATCAAAATTTATCCATTACAATGAATTTCTCTCATTCTTTCTCTTTTCTCGTATACCCAGTTCATCAAAAATGCCCTCATTGATTGAACTGGTCAGAAAATGCGACTGCTTTCCCTACGATGACGATGATCAACATATACCGAAATCAAAATTAATACCATTTACACTGTTTGGAAGGAAAATAGGCTTGCTATTCCCGGACGTTGTTGAGAAATTAAAAGAGTACAATAACAGATTTATAGTGAAACCGTTTGATATAAGTGAGAAATCTGTAACGTTCGGGAAGGAAATTAATACGCTCGATGAGAGAAATGCCGTCATTAAGCAATTGTTTGACACGTGGAGGGAAGAGGATGCGTTCGTACACTTGCGTGGTGAGGCAAAGTCTCAATTTTGTTATTCAAATTAATCGTCCCTCCCCCTAATGGTACTTTCTTCGTACTTTATTATTAGGCTGGCGCGACGAACTTTATCCAGTCTACGGTGACCCATCAAACACTAATAATGTAGCGTTCATAATTGAACGCGCTGCTTCGAACCTTTTTGGTATATCTACGTTCGGTGTTCACCTCAACGCATACACCCGCATGTCGGACGGTAAACTGAAAATGTGGATTGGCAAACGAGCATCTAGTAAACCATCATGGCCGGGCTGGTTAGATAATGCAGTAGCGGGTGGCATCACACATACACAATCTGTTAAAGAGACTCTGATAAAAGAAGCAATGGAGGAGGCTAGTCTACCTAGTCATATTGCCGAAAAGGCGCAATCTGTTGGAGCTATAGCTTATTTCTATGCTACTCGAACAGAATTACAGCCCGAGACACAGTTGAGTGTCTGTACAAACTTGGAGAATCAACAGTAATTTAAGGCGGGCTAAAATATGTATATCGTTATAACCTTAGATATATCTACGATTTGGAATTACCGGTTGACGTTGTACCCAAGCCAAACGATGATGAGGTCGAATGTTTTTATCTTTGGGATTTAAACGAGGTAATTCATTAGATATAATAACACATATGCGATTTACTTACGTTCTTGTATATCAGTTAAATAACTATTATTGTTCAAACGAACAGCTCGAACAACATTTACGTAATGGTGAATTCAAACCAAACTGTGGATTAGGTTTGTAAACTCTTTCATTAAAATATTCGCTCAAAATTTCAAGAGTACTAAAACTCTATTTGTTGGTCTTATCTTGTTTTTATGCTTTATGCTTTGCCACTGCAGTTGTTATTGATTTCTTGATTCGTCACGGAGTTATTACGCCCGACAACGAACCAGATTATCTGGAGCTATTTAGTGGGCTTCATAGACGACTGGGTTATCCTGGCCCCAGCAAGGTTACCAAATGAAGGAGACTTGGAGTAAATCACGTTGCATGTTCTTAGATAATACTGCTGCTTACTAGATCGTCGTGATTTTGACCTTTTCGCGCTTCCAGTAAAGTCTTACAGTATTCGAAGTCACATGATTTGTCTGCTCAAGTCCCAACTAGGAAATTCCTTTCTGTACAACCGGGTTATTATTTATTATTCACATACTATCATCCAAAGACACCAACTTTCTTTTCTTCAACATTTCCCCTCCATCGGCTTAGATTTTTCGCGTTTTACCTTCCGTCTCAAATATAAGCATTCGCCATAATTTCATTACAAAAATCTCTGCATCTTCATCCAGCGTCTACATGAAAATAATATTAGCAAAAACAAAAACATTTATACTGTTAAATAAGAGCTTGAGAGTTACCGATTCCATCTCCTTTGTAAGTTCATCCGCTGGTCTTTTACGGCGTAATTGGTCCATCACAAATGATACAAGCTCGTCTTCTTGTTCTCCAAGATAATGTACAATTTTCTTGCTTACAAACGGTTGTAATTTCTTATTAAGAATATTCTATCATGACGCGAACCAAACAACATAATATTAATGAGATTTGTTTAGTAGCAGTGAATTTATTCCAGAAACATCAAAAACAATACCTCATCTAATTCGTCCCATTTTACTTCCCACTTCCATAATTCTTCCTTCTCTGTTGGAATAGTATTCACCAACTCCCGAATCTTCTTTTTCCTCTCCTCGCTCTTCTTCTCATCGTCTTCCTCATCGCTATACTCTAACGGCACAAGCGCTCGCTTCTTCCATCTGGTCTCAGATTCATCTTCGTCAGACTCTTCGTCATCAGCAGCAGCAGTCATAACCGCTGCTCGTCGTTTATTTGTTATGTTCAGTGTTAATTTTGCTTTGACACTACCATTGTTCGTTTGTGTAGAGTTGTTTGCATCTTGTACATTAGGAGTAGAATTTGTATCTGCCTCGGAAAGAGGTTTAGTCACTTTCTCATTCTCTATTAATTCTTCTTGTTTACGTTCTTCAAGTGCTCGTTCTCTTTGTTGTCGTCGTTTTTCCGCTTCCATTTCTTCTTGTTCTTGAAGGCGGTCTTGTTCGTCCGCTGCAAGCTCGCGAGCTCTCACTTGTTGTCTATGGTACCACCATCGAGACCTAAGCAATAGACAGTCATAAGAAATGGACACGAGAATAAAACGATGTTTAATAATACAAACACTTAACCACCATACCGATCTCTGTAATATTGTTCTGTGCCACGCTCTGTTTCAACATCATCGTTCCATTCAGCGAGTTTTCTTGCCATTATTTCTCTGTCACGTATTTCCTTTTCCTTCTGATCTGCTTCTTGTCGCATTTCCCTTTCGTACTGCCTTGCAAATTTTGCTTCGCGTTGCTCCCAACGTCTTTCTCTCTAGACAATAATAAAGTTCAAATGTACGATGGGTTTGAATTAAACAATGAATTGTAAATTTACAACTTTTGCAGAGTAGACTCGTTCACCAAATTATTCATACCAACCTCCTTAAAGGCCATCTCTAACTCTTTTTCCCTCTTGGCTTGTCGCCTTCGTTCTTCATCTTCATCGTCTAAAACATAATCATGTTTATCCTCACGAGCCGGAACAAAATTTACTGCCTGTTGGTATTGTCCAAATTGTCTATCTCTATTATCCCTTTCCCCATTCCCACGGCGTCGTTCCTCTCTGTCTTTTTCTGCCTTTGCTCGACGATTAGCCCGCTCTTCATCTTCTCGTCGACGCTCTCGTTCGCGTTGTGCTGCACGTTCTCTAAATATTGCTATTTCGCGATATATAAGATCTTTCTGCTCTGGTGGTAAATCAGCAGGAAGATCTGTTTCCTCATTTTTCTCTAAATTTTCAGCCGCCGGTGAAGATGTTGTTGATTTAGCGTCCTCTTGCAGAGATTTTGATGACGGGGAAGTTGATTGGTCTTGTGGTTTTGTCATCTCTTCGATAACAGCTATGACTGCGAGTAGTGCATTCTTGTCTTGTTCGCTATCATGCTGAAAAAAAGAAAGCAAAATAACCCCACAACAGAATTAATACAAAAAGTAAAAACTTAATAAATTTTGGAACTGAGGTTCTACCAGTGTGTACATACCGCTGTTCTCGGTCTTGCGGCTTCGTATTGATCGAGATATTTTCTCGTTTCTTCATCAGCTCGGACCTATTACACAATCTCAATCGTTAAATTCATATAGTGACTCGGGTAGAATAAGTAACGCATAGTAATTAACTTACTAAGAGTTTCTTTGGTGACGCTCCTTCTTCCAATGCAGGTAAAACTACACCATTATCTTTTCTATCCTCTCCTGCGCCCTCGCCCCCCAATACTCGTAATGCTCGCAAGACACTGTCGGCGTTAGCATATTCGGCAAATCCAAATGCCTTTGGATTGCCTGATTGATCTTTAACCCTCTTCCACGCCTTCAACGCGCCGCACGTCTAAATTCCATGCGGAGAGAAGTAATAGGTATCAGGAACAAAAAAGGTTAGCAACGTTAAAATAAGCCACACGCAAAGGAACGATATAATTTCCGACACTATGAAATTGCGTTCTATAGTCTTCAAACGACTATGACACGGTCTTCCCTCGTCGCAATCAATTTCGAAGGTCAAAAATTTAAGTTTGGTACCAAACCTTCGCCAAGTTAGAGTTCGACTAAAACGTCCAAGGCCAGCACAGACTTTTTGAAGGTGTTGTAGTTCCCAAATAAATACCCAATACTTTATTGCAATGATTCCTTTCGAAGTTTTGGGTAAAACATCGTCAACTTGTTGACAAATAATGGCGATGGGTTTTTTTTTCACTCCGCTCCCCTTTGTTTTATTTTTAATTTTATTTTTTTTTCTTTTCGATCCACTAATACGTATTCTCTAACGGGCTTAATTACCTTGAGAACTTTCTCCATCCATTCGTCAGTTACGCCGGTCGAGATGCCACCAATAAAAAGGGTTGTGAGTTTTTCTGTTTCGTTGGAATTGCCAGCTGCCGGTCCTCCGGGAACTTGAACGGCGAAGCCTGAACGAGGCGGGTGGCCAAACCCTGGTCGTCCGTGAAAAGGACCTGGAACAAAGCCTGGTCTATGCATTGGCTGGCCAAAGTTTGGCATTCCACTTGGCATACTGCCCGGCATGTTATAGGGCGGCCGGTACGGCGCTTAAAGATCAGAAAGAGGAAGAAGGAACTGATCAATGAGATTGCAGACTTGGATGGCTAGGTGAAGAAAGCTGTAGCGCACAGAAACAAAATAAGGTAATTGAAGTACCGTATGGAGGAGGTCGATAGGGATCCATGCTAGAAGAAAGAAATTGTTGAAAAAGGTAGTTGATGTCGAGTATTCTCTTTATTGAGTATTGGAGGCAATTTTGTTGTATATCGAAACCACGTGTTTATTGTGTAACGTGCTTGTAAATATTATAAGATCCGCATAACCATTAATATCGTTATAAACCAATTAATTGCATCTCCCCTTCGGGTCAAGTTCGAAATACTGATGAAAGTTCCGTCAGTTACTATGTCGTGGGTTTTTAAGCCCAGGTCGTTGATTTCTTTGACAACAAATAATGGAATAATCACTTCACATTCTGATCGCCCCAATAGAGATACTGTACATATTAATACTTGCTATCCGCCTCCCGGCCAAGGTTGGAGAAACTCGCTGACTTCATCAGTGTAGCGCGCGTGCGGCCATCAATCTGTCATCGTGAATAACGGGAAAGATGACCGTGTGGGGGTGTAATATGTGAATTGCTATTCTTTTTTCTGATAACCAATGCATTCACATACTATTCACACCACACATGCCATACATTTGTTACTTTCGGTCTCTGTTACTAAATCAATAGTGGTGCCAAAAGGTATGCCGATAAGATTTTACCAGAAATATAAAAGAAATATGTCATGCTTCATCACGATAAGTCTGTGCCACATACTTCAAAAGTGGTCACTAAGTATCTGAAAAAGGAAAACGGTAGTAGTATTCTTCCACCCTACAGTCCCTGCTGTTCCTAGAATCAAAAAAGTAAAAAGTTGAAAATCTTGCGCGGGGCCGTTCAATCAATTACTTCGAGTATATCAAAAGACGAGTACCATAAATCGTTTGAGGATTGGCGTAGGTTACAACTTTGCATAGATAGAGACGGTCACTACTTTGAAGGAATGAAATAGTTTATTTCGATGTTGTAACATAAGTTTTGAAAATAAAGACATTTTCGCATTACTTTTCAGCCATCTTGCAGTTCGGGAAATGTCGATACCTTATTTGTCGTCTGCTGTTTTCGAGCGTTTTTCTCCTTAACAAACATGACCAACAAACTAAACACCCCTATACCAAATATTGCTACTGTAGACGATAAATAACCCAACACGTATCAATCAGTAATTGTAATTAAACGTCCCTCATTAATTTCATCAACCTCCCTTTAACTCACTTATTCCTTTCCTCGTAGTCTCCCACTTGAGCGCCTCAACAGCCGTTCTTATTTCCCCTAAAGCAATCATACACCGATTATTCATTTCTTCCAATTTTAACTGCATTTTCTTCTGGTCAAGCCTTATATCGTCCCTTCGATTATTGAAATCGATCTGCATCTCGTTTTTCAATGTTGCAATATCGTCAGTCATGCGGCGGGAGATCGCATTGAGATCTCGTTGGATTTGGGACGTTTGGGAGAGGAGAGCAGCGGTATCGTTTTTACGTAAAATCTGCATTTCTGTCCTAAGCTCGCTAAGAGCTGCGCGGAAGAGATATAGTTCCTGTAAAAAAGAGAACGGTTAGTTAATAGTGATAGGGCAAGACTGAAGAATGTCAATCCTGCTACCATTCTGTCAATATAGCTCCACTTACATTATCCAATCCAGATTTTGCAAGCATCTGCGACTTTAGTGTTGTAGACGTATCTAATAATAAAGCTCTAAAGCACTTCATTATAGCCACAGACTGTCCTCTGGTAAATCCCTTCTCTTCCAATTCCTTCACAATATTGTACGTATTAAAACTATACGAAGTCGCGAAATATCGCCTTATCAGTGACGCAACAATCGCAGTCTGTTTCGGTGTCCATTGCGGAGGATTTCTTATATTTGTAGGATGAACGGTGACTACAGGTAAAGTTGAGGCTTGACGCAAGTTATATATTCGGAGAGACGGCTTAACGTTCGAAGGAATAAAACCTGACTGGGAGAGATTCAGAGTTTGAATAGATTAATAAGGCAGAGCTAGCGTATTCAACTTTAATAAATACCAACAGAGCAGAAGTTTGCTAATCGACGCGAAACTGTTCCAAGCATCATTGAAGGTCGAATGTGATGGCCAATCGTCATCCTCATTCACACTATCGTGTGACATCATCGCTTATTATAAACTGCCATAACTAATACATTTACTTGATGCCTATTAATTGCTAGAGATTCTCACCTTAAAACGTCTTGTCAAGAAACTGACAAAAGGAACACACGATAAATCTTTGAAGTAATTGACTTTTTTGAACAATTTATTTATCTATCAGAGATTGCGCGCAGATGTGTTCATAATTATGGAATTAGCACCTCATCTTGCAAATAGAAACGTGCGAATTGCTTGATTAAGTACGTGAAAATGTCTATTTACAGATTTTACAAGAATGTAATGTAATTAATTAACGGATTAATTAACGCAGGTAAAAAATAAATGAACGATCAATAAGTAATGATACTGACATAAAAGTACAGAATGAATAGAATGCAGAATGCAGAATTATATGCGATGAAGTGCTTTGGTGGAGGTTAATATGGAAAAATCACATTTAGCAATGCATACAAGATTCGCTTAACGCCAACGACGAGTACCGGCAGATTGTCGAGATGAGCGACGGGATGAGCGACGGGATAAGCGACGGGATGAACGACTAGGAGAATTGCGAGCGGGAGGCACCTGTTCAGAGGATTCAAAGAACGTCAGTTAACCAAACAGTCATCGAGTCTATAACAACTTATGTCTCAACACCAACGTTGACATACATTATGATGGGCAGGATTTTAACGATTGCCACACTTGAACCATCCAAAAAAGTCTTGCGCTCCCTTTCTTTTCCGTTTACCCACCTTTCTGATCTCATACAAATGTCCCTTAAGAACAGTCATATTTTTCAATCCAAACCTCTCCTCATTCTTGGGAATTCGAGGTGCTGGATACCATTTCATTATATCTTTACCATGCTGTCTTTCGGCAGCAAGCAACGTCGCCTCCAATCCCGGAGTAATATCGAATTCCCCTCCAACCTTAAACTGATCTTCTTCCTCCTTTTTATTGTCATCTACTAGCCAGTCATCGTCATCAGAACTATCAGACTCTTCGTCATGTGGGCGTTTTATCTTTGACCACTGCTTTTTCACTGGGTCAAACATCATGTTGCCATTAATCTGGACGGCTTGTGGATTAAACTTGTTGGTTATTAATGTACTTTGTGAATGAAACTTGTTGGCTATTAATGTACTGCAATCCGATCCGAATGAATCTTCTTCCTCATCATCTTCCTCTTCACTAAAATCCGGAAACGGCTCACGTGTTGTAACTGACAACTTTTCGTGAGGTATTAAAGACACTGGGAATTCGACGTCTTCCCAGCTTTCTTCATGTTCAATGAAAGATTGTATTGGGTGGGCATTAGCTAGCATTATCATTAACTTGACTTTTTTTTTTTGTTATTTATAAAGTGGTGGTTCGCTATTAATTTAGCAAACGGGAAGAATAAAAAAAAAAAAAAAGGGAATGCGAAAGCTATATATGAGGAGTAAAAGCGGGGAGTAAGAGAAATTGAAATATGGTAATGATGGTTGTAACAAATACTATTATGAGAAACTTTAGTAATCTGAGGAACAATACGTTAATGTGTTATATGCGGTGAGCTTATTATGCAGCCAGGGTTATATATGACAAAACGAACGATATTCCCTTACTCGTCAAGACTATTTCACAGGTGTTTGGTTAGTTTGCGTGGAGTAACTCTTATTGACAAACTCGTATTAGGCAGGGTGCAATTGCTTCATGAATAGAACCAGAAAACTCATGACATAAAATTCCAAGCGGAATTCATGGTTTTCTTTAGCTCTGGGGAATAGTGCGTTTGCTATGAGAAAGGGCGGGCTTTTAATCTGAACATTTCCAGGGGGCGAATTTAGAAGTCGGGATCGGACGTTCTCTTTACTAAATTTGGGATTGGAATTATTACATTCTTTGGTACCACATACTTATCAAAGTAATTTGAAATATACGTACAAACTACGTCTTATAATGTAATTGGTTTAATGTAGTAATAGTAAAAAGTAAAGTAAATAAAATGTCCGTTTTTAATTAATATTTTAAATTAGAAATCAGCGTCAAGTGTAAATGTGTTATCTGACGGGTTTGAGCTTGTTACTCTGCTCATAACATTGGCTTTTTGATAATCAGATACCCGTTTTTCGAAAAAGTTCGTCTTCCCCTGTAATGAAATTAAATCCATGAAATCAAACGGATTGTCGCTCTTGTAATGCTTTGGACATCCGAGAGCAACCAATAACCTGTCAGCAACGAATTCAATGTATTTCTTCATCAGCGTCGAATTCATTCCAATCAAATCAACCGGTAGCGATTCGGTAAGAAACTCTTGCTCTATGGATACAGCTTCGACAATTATTGCTTCCACTTTCTTTTGACTTGGTCGCATGCGTAGATGAGAGAACAAAAGGCAAGCAAAATCGCAATGGAGTCCCTCGTCACGCGAAATCAGTTCGTTGGAGAATGTTAGTCCGGGCATCATGCCCCGTTTCTTGAGCCAGAAGATGGAAGCGAAGGCACCAGAAAAGAATATTCCTTCAACTGCAGCAAATGCAACCAAACGTTCGGCGAAGGAGGCTTTATGATCGGCGATCCAGCGAAGTGCCCAATCTGCTTTCTTGCGGATGCATGGAACTATATAATCAAGGCAGATTAAAATATGAATGAATAATAGTTACAAGTACATCTAGAGCGGCGTAATTATCTAATGCCATTAGTACCATGTTACAAAAAATAAACTTATTACAATTAAGGATCATTATCGGATAGGTACACAATATCGAGATCTCATCTATTGTAAACTTTGAACAACATGCCCTCCCCGATTAGTCTTAAATCTTGCTTACTTGTCTCGATTGCGTCAAATAGGAATTCTCTCTGCGCTGGTTCCTTGATATACGTGTCGATCAACAGTGAATACATTTCCGAATGAATATTCTCTATCATTATCTGAAACCCATAGAAACACCTTGCTTCTGGTATTTGTACTTCATTGCTGAACCTTTCGACCAAATTCTCATTCACTATTCCGTCAGACGCTGCAAAGAATGCCAATACGTGCGAAACGAAATATTTTTCGTCTTCGGTCAGCTTGTTATCCCAGTCGTTAAGGTCTTTCGATAAGTCGACCTCCTCCACTGTCCAAAAGGATGCTTCGGCTTTTTTGTAAAAGTGCCAAATCTGGTATTTGAGAGAATGTCAATACGTCATGTGGAGTAAACAGTCATACGCAATGCAGATCAGTGTAACCAACATACTTCTTGATATTTTATGGGAAACAGTACAAATCGCCTGGGGTTGGGTTGTAAGAGAGGTTCGTTCTTTTCATATTCTAGTGCGTCAGAGCCGTCTTTTTCTTTCATCGACGGCTTATCGACCGATGGTGTATTCGGTTTGTGGTTCTCCTTATTGTCTGTTTCTCGTAAAGCAGACTTCCTGCCGGAGCGAGTGTTTGTGTTCTGGCCGGGCATGGTTATTAAATAAAATAGTGACGTTTCAGTAAGTTGATATCTGTTTGGTTGTATTGGTAGTAACGCAAAAGGTAATAACACAAAGTGGCGATAGAACGTCAGAGCAGTTATTGCGGACAAAGGGAAGAATGATGGGTGTGGGCTATTTATAAGAAAAAAAATTCCTTTGATACTTCACCAATTGCTGAGTTTACTATTTGATGTGAGGAGCAACAAATTTTGCAGGTGAGAATTCATATCGGAATTTGGTTGGTCGAGTGATATGCATGGCACGCGTATCATTTATTATGGTGGTACGATACACGTGTTTGTTCAGAGCAACCACGCGAATCACGACAACAAGCAAAACAAACAGACGCGTGACTACGATCACATGAATTACGCGCATGCAATACATATTATGTATTAAATCACAAAGATAGGAGAAGCGACGGTGTGTATCTGCCAACGAGAGAATAGGTAACTAAGACCGACTGAACCGAATCCGTTACAATGATTCCGGGAAGGCTTCATTTATAAACTTTAACAGACGTGTCTGTAATTTTAGAACATTCCTGTTTCTGCAGATCGCATGTCGATCCTTTTAGCCGATATTATATCAAAGCTGAAGCTGCCTTCTGATTACTTTAGAGAGTAGGAAACACGGGTGAGTAAGGAGAGTTTTCGAGTTCTTTATTGAACATGAGCAAGGAGATGTTTCACCACAGAGGCGTCTGGTTGCACTATTAGTCCTCCTGCTGTTTCAATTGTTCTTAGAAGTCACCGTTGACATTACAGCGAGTATGGGAAAAAAAAGAAAGTGGTCGTCATTAATATTAAATTAATTTCAAACATGTCACATGATATGCAATCCCATATGATCCATTGTTCGCGTCATGTTGAGCTTCGGTATTTCAAACACAAACATGGCTACGCGACTGACAGTTGTTTTCACTCTTTTAAGGGTGACACCTACAGAGCTACAGTGGCGATATACGTGTCGGTTGTGAGAGCGTACAGACTATCTTGCAGTTTGGTGAAGTTGACCGATTCGCGAACAACATTTTCCATTAGTAGAACAACCGTTTTCGAGAAGGAGACGGTGTAAGTAATATGTATAGATATGTAAGAACGGAGAGAAGCAAATGCAAAACCTGAGACTGCTCTTTTGGCATATCGCTAAAGTTCCTTTACAGTATATACCGAAACACACCTCTACTGTTACTATTGCAACAATGCGAGCGTCGTTCGAGCGATTCTAAAAAATGATCTGGTGCAATATTTATAGAATATGCACATTTATTCGATTTGTTCATAGTTTTGTTATCCTGCAATACAACCGTACAATACACTAAGGTAACATTGTACCTTATGTCGGGAAGGAAAGGCGGTTAAAGGAGCTCCAGAGGAATGCATCCGATTTCATTTTAGTCTTACATTTATTGTAACATTACTTAATTAATATTAACAATACATCTTAATCTATTCTAACAATAATATTAATAAACTCTATTACTATGTATTAACAGTTTTGTCGATAGCTTGGATGATTTCATTGGGCACTTATTCTACGACAAGCCATATTATGAACATTGGCTACTAAACCCTTGCATTTCTATGCGAAGTGCGGCATGACTGCACGCAAGCAGCGAGTAAGCCAATAACCATTACAAGTATCGTCAAACCAATCGCTATACCAATTGATATCAACATACTTGAGCCAATGCTCTTTGTATCATCACCCGTAGAGGAGTATTCGTATTCGAGTTCAGTTGTATTCGTTTGGGAAGAAATGCTTGTCACTGAAGAGGCGTTTTGAGGCACGGCTAGAGACTCGGATGTTGATACATCTGTGCTATAATAAGTAAAATTAAAAAGCGATAATTAAATGTATGGCAAGCTCCCACGCTCTAAACGTGTGAGATCGTATCAAAAAGTCTGTTGGCTAGCAAGTTATTCAAATAAGGTGCAAGAAAACGAAACACTTTGTCATTATATTTATGTTTGAGCTACAATAACTACGGACATCGATTTAGGGTAATAATGAGGCAATAGACTTGTAAATTGACTTATATAAACACGTAATTAGTTGTCTTCATACCTGCAGCTGAATCGTGACTGTTTCTCGGGTTTGGCAAATCCTCGTAGTAGTAGTAGTAGTAGATTCTCATTCTCAAGACGGTTTTACATCATTATGATAAATGGCATACCATATATTATTCTCAGAATTATTCTTCTCCGTCTTGCACATAAGATCATATATATCTGACGACGGCATACAACAACTGCTGAGCAAGTTTTTATCGAATTGCCTATCTTTAAAGATGATTCACCAGTGGTAATCAAATACAGTATATCGGGGAGGTTAGCTTATTTTAATTAGCATTTGGACACTTACTCTATCAGTTGTCTAAATGAGATATCAATGTTTATTTAATTAATATAGCGACCAGAATAATAAATTAGTAGAGTAGAAAACCCCAATTTCTGCTTTGGCATATATATGATCATTTATTATAGCTTGAATGGCACTGCCATTGGTGAAGTACTACAAGAACTAATGCAAAAATGGAAAGAGAATTGATTGTTATTGTTAATCTTTGCCACTCCAATAATAGGGCCCTGTGATATCGATGTTTAGTGATGAGGCCACCAACTTAGCCAACTTTATTATAGTTTTGTTAGACGAATGATTTTACGTTGACTGTCGTCTTTCATAATTCGTGTTTCGTAGTATACTTACTGATGGAATCTTTAGGCAATAGGCGTATCCTTCATAGGCCTTTCTACACTATTTGTTATAAATACAACACTTTTAATCTAATATATCACCGAAGGTCAGGTACCTGATAATATAGTGTGACACGAATCGTTATCATTGTCTGAGTTTGGGACCTGTCTCGGTTCGGAACCTAGTCACTCAGTCCAGAACTGACCAACTGAGGTACAACATCACATGATAGCTTTGATAAGGACATTTACTGAGAAAAAAAAATATGGGATTTGTTTTCATTAAACAGACTACATTTATTTGACATGGCTTTTGAAATTAAACTCCATTTCTTCACTATAAAATTGGCCAATTTTAAATTTTTAGCATCCGTGGATCCTTTCAGAATTTTTTAATGAATTAAGACCAAGGCCCAGTCAATAACCACAGAACTTTTTACGAGAAATAATAATTTGGCAAGTTGAGCCATATTAATATGCTTAGAGTAATTATCTTGCTAAAACCAACATGCGTCGGCTCATCAATTATTAACCTCTGGAATATGTTTGAAAATTGTGGTTGATTTTTTTGTATAAAATATTTAATACCCATTATACAATAAACATAACTAGTTATGATGGTTAGGTTCAACGTCAATATTTTTCTTTATCAAGAGTATCCGCATTTCTCTATCACACCCTATGGCTCCAACATTTTGGTCCAAGTTTTCCCTCATTGACATTTAACTTAAACAAAATAACTATAAATTTACAATAACTTTTGCTGTATTGAACGAGTATACTAAACTCTCGGTGTTATACATTGGCTTTACTACTACGAACGCCTTTTTTGTATTAACATAAGATCTTATAATCGCAGTCTTTCTAAATTAAACATTTCTCACGCTTCCCTTCAAGATGTTACGACAAAGCGAACACTCTGCTGTTTGTCTTGTTAATTGCGGAGAATTTACATGCCAAGTGTCAATTCAGAGAATAATACGATAACTGAAACATTAATAAATAATTATTCCGTAACATATCTCATTAGTCACTAGGGAACCTTATATCAAAATATCGGTACAAAATAAAGAACAAATAATAACAATAATGCAACATTTCTAATAATAAATAACGAATGTTAATATTTTATTATAAGCCACCTCAAGAAAGTAACCCGCTTTCAGTTTCACCCGAACAGCAGTAACCCGAACAGCAGTAACCAATTTACTTTTTTTTTGCCTGGGGGAAAGGTTGTTATCACTTTAGTGCCCATTTTCCTCTGACATCTACTCGCAAAATCACCCGGATCCAAATTAAATAATAATAACATAAATTTTAGAGCATGTTCTTGTCTTCGCATTCCTCACATATTTTAACTCGTGTCAACATTTTAATCAACTTATGAAGCCTAATTATCTACTGCATTTATCGCAATGGTTATACTTGTTCCTACTTTTTTTTTCATAATTAGCTACATTTTTTCAACAATCCAGTCGTTTGAATTTTTGACCAATCAAACAATTCCGAAGTCAATAGCAAAAAAAATCGGCTATTTACTATTACAGGGATACCTCAGTGCTTCTACAGTGGATAATGTTTAAAATGAGTCCCAAGACTAAAACTTTAAAGTCGATATCATTATGGGTGAAAAATAAGAAAGAACATAGTGAGAAAGTCTATCAAAACAACTAAAAATAGTTATTTTTCCGTCACTTATTGCTGCGTGGCCAATTCATACAAATTTTCTCGTGACTTGTCCAAAAAATTTGCTCACTTTACACATGGCTACTGTCGACGAACTTATAGAATACAAGAAGACAGTGGACGAGGCAGAGGATAAGCTGAACAAGGCAAAGAGCGCATTAAAGAAGTTTTATAACGGGGGGAATGGGGACTTGCTGAAGGAGTTGAACAGCAAGATTCTGACAGGCATGCTTGACGTTGATGAGAAGGAAAAAAGGGAGATGCTGGTAAAGTTAGAGAGTGTCCTGCAGCGGACCGCGATAATGCGTTTGGAAGTGTGGCAGGGCAAGTGTGGAGTCTTTCAAGAGATAAGAGTTTTGCAAGGTAATTTATTCAGAAGAGAGGAGTGTGTTAAAGCAGCAGGAGGTTTACTGACTGGCAGAAAAAATTTTTGGGAGATGCATTACTAGCATTCACTACTTTGTGACCATTGGAGACATAGAGTAGTGCATACACAGGGTATAAAGTGACTGGTTAGCAGTGCTTTATTCACAATTACCTATATATATACACTGCATATTCTATGTTTACAGTATATTATCTCTTATTTTTATTCAATCTTTATCTTTTCAATTATTGTTGTTGTTGCTCTTGCTGTTTTCACCAGATGTGCCAACTGCAACCAAGAAAAGAAAATTGGAGGATGATGGTTCTACAACCAAGAAAAGGAAATTAGAGGATGATAGTTTTATTATTTCAACTTAATACAACTCCTCCCCCTTTGGATTGCAAAAGGCAAGAATATATTTATCATAATATTTACTCATTTAGTCTTCTAGTTCTAACCAGTTCGTTTTTGTTTTTTTTTTTGTTTGTTTCAGCAGGTTTTTTTTGCGTCAGGGATGAATTTAGAGACTTTACTTATCCAAAGCAAGTACAAATGTAATGAGCAATTTTATACTAAATAAAAAAGTGTTTAATTGACTCATAATTAACTTTATATCTCTTGATTTGATTGTAATTACTTAATAACTAAAATAAGTGAGAAGTTGTAGCAAGGTTCTACAACTAACTATTCAGTAAACTTCTATTTTCGTTAATTAATAAATAAGCAGTAACTGTCCCTAATCCTATTTATGAAATTCAATTGATATAAAGGGGGTTTCCATTGTTTATTTGAGCTTCTAATCGAGTTAATTTTTTTCTTTTGCTTTTTAATTCTTGTGTTTTTTGTTGTTAGAATTTTGAATATTGATGGCCGATGTCGCGTCAACAATCACGGGAGAGCGGACAGTCGTTAACACTTGGGATTTAACTTTCTTTCATCGGAGATGTGGCTTCTCCTATTTAAGTTAAGAATAGTAACAGTTAGTGACCTTTAAAACCAGGCTTTTACTGCTCACGATCCGACGTCGATGCGTAGATGTCAATCTTATAATCGTCCTGGAGTATCGTCACTATTCTCTACCGATGTGATTAATTTCGGTAGTCTACAGGTTCGGGGTCGGTTTCTAATTATAACAAACGCGTTGCTCCTACAACGAATATTTATCATAATGCCACAAGAGTAATTGCAGGACAAGAAGCAAATACTCCTATACGATATAAGGATTAACGGTTTTTCTGCTATACCGAATAATACTAGAGAAATAATAATCAGAGTATTATAATAATTCGAACACTTGAGACACACCGGTTGTAGTAGTAGCGGAAAATAAGTCGCTTATTATTATATACTTTCTGAAGTGCCAAATTCGTCTACGTGTACTAACTGCAAATAAGTCTACGAACTAAATATTGTGCGACCGCTAGTATTAGTATGTACAATTTTGCTGTACTGATCGTGACACCATCGGAGCTCGTCACAAACATCCGAAATGTTAGTGTAACGGATACTCCTGTCACCTAGTTTTACGAAAAGCAATACGAATTTGCACATTGATAACACAAAATTAAGTTCGTGACGGGGTCCAAAAATTGCGTCCCACCTACTTTCGCTAAACTCCATCGTTGAAGGGTTTGTTGGAAAAGTGTTAAAAATTGAGTTGAGCAATAATAACTCATAATATTCATATTAAAATCGCGTAGTGAAGTTAATTAAATTATTGCTCATTGGTTGAGAATGAGTTTAAAGAAGTCCTTAAAAAGACGCGTCAAAATCTATTGCTCTTTCATAATTAATATACTCTTTGTCTAAGGATTGTTGTTCTAATGATAGTTCTATTCTTGCGTCATTGTTGCTGAAAACGGATGTATCTATTGCTTAGGAGGCTAAAATAACCGGATAGCCAGTTTACGGAAGTTATATTTATTATAGCTGAAGACAAGTGAATATCAGACCAGACGGGAAAGAATAGTTTGATTATCGGTATAATTTGTTTACTTAATTATATAGTTTAGCACGACATTTGAGTGACAATTTATACCTTGGCAATAGGAGGTATAAAAAACCGCCTGCAAATTTAGCTATGCCTTAATTGATACGGGCGTGTAAGCAAGATTACGTTTAGAGCTAATATCTCCCGGTCAAATTAGGTACAAACTCTCAGGTGACTGAAAATAAAATTGTTGTGGAGTTTAATTAATAATTTGTTCCAATTGTTAAATTTCAGTTTGTAATTGATAAATCACACACACACTTTCTCTTTGTTCTTTCTTTTCATTCTCTAATGGTTTCTTCTTTGTGTTTTTTTTCTTCCAGTCTTTATCACCTTTTCATATCCTTCCGGGTCACAAAGTTTTTCAGAAAAACGTTCTCACTAGTAGCAAGAAGTTGACCATCTTGTCCAATTTCATCTCTATTTTTGTAATTTAAACCTAAACCCAACTTTTGCTTGAATTCAGATTCATTACGGTTGCCATTAAAAGTTGGAGCAACAGGACCCTTCTCACATTCTTCTTTCCATCTCTTTCTCTGATGGTAAGATTATAATAATCAATTTCCTTTCCATTTTTTGCACTAGTTCTCGTAGTACTTTATCATTTTGTGCTCAGGTTCTTGGGTATTAGTGCTATTACTTTAGAAAGATGTTGTTTGGTAGAAATAGTTGTATATCCTCATGCCATGTCATTATGTACCTATGCAATCACTTTACTCCTTTCGGCAATAATATCATCTTTAGGTTGGAAGGTTTTGTTTAGTTTTTCTAGCTGTTCAGGCTTGTAGTAAGTATAATGACAATGATATGCTATATCACTATATTTTACTCTACATTTAGGTGATACACAGCCAACTCAATAAGTCGGTCGACACATATATATAATCGCGATAAGCCACAAGTCGGTCTTACGTGATATTAGAAAACACCATTACTATATTATCTAAATTTTATTTACATAACACAAAGCTTGGCGATAAGGCTGTATCAATATAGTAATTACATAACACAACAGCTCAAGATAAATTATCGTTTCAGAATTAAGACTTAAAGTGGAAAATTGACAAAAAACGGATGGATTATTCAAAACAAACGAGCACGGATATTTATTTAGAACAATGGTTTCTACTGTCTAACAATTTTGCCCTCTATATTTATTTTTATTACTTATTATTATTCTACATTATCGTTATATAAATAAAGCGCGAACACTGCGTTTTTTGACTGCTTAGCGTTTTTGTTATGAACTGTTATTCGGTCGTTTTTGCGGTGTTACGCCTTAGCGTTTTTTGCATGTTAGCGGTTTTTTGTATTTTTTTACCGTGTTTTTTCTATGTGTTTTCTATAAATATATATTTTTTTATTGACTTAATAAAAATAATATTGTCATTAAGAGCGCTTAAGCAAACATAAACATTGCGCATAAATAACCTCACGTAGCTCCCGAGCCGCGGGTGTTTTAAATTTCACTCTTATTTACTCAAAAAGCCAAGGGAGCAACTAGTTTTTCGTATATTGGCGATGGTCCCCGCCTTATTTTACTTTCTTAACATAAATACGGGTCAGGGTCCAAATAATGTTGCTATAATAGACGTTTGCGCATACCATGCCCAGCCATCCGTGACCGACTTAACGAGTTTGGTTGTGTATTTGCATATAAAAGTGAGGGGTTTCGAGTCCTTATTGATCACACATGGGTAGACCCTTATTTACTGTGTGTTTGAGGAGAATTTGACCACCTGCTCTCCCAAACAGGCATGCTCATACACGTATCATAACCCATGGGTTTACATCTTGATTTTTCTACTTTGTTCAGTCATTTCTTGTGCGATGTTCAAGATTTAAACACGTCTTTTTGTGTAAGAGTGTGTCTGCTGTCTTTATCTCAATCGTACATAATTTGACACTGAGGACAACATATAGTAGTCTTTTGTGCTTTTTTGGTTAAGGCCTTTTATCCTAAAATATAAAATTCTTCTTTGTGTTTAACCATCTTTAAAGTTTCTTTAAATATATATATATATATTTTAAATTCCTTTGTCAGTCAGCAGTCTTATTGTCTAATTCTTGTTAAAAAAGATTTTGAGAAGTCTTCGCAACGATTTCTCTTTCTTCTTCATCTCATCATTTTTTTTGTGTTTTGACAATTAAAACATTCTTTTTGGTCATGACTACAGTACATTTTAATATTAACATTAGTATTAGTAATCAGTCACCATAGGGACTCTTTAACATAAATTGATATAAATAGGTTTGTTTATTCTCCAGAATCTCTGTCTTGTTTTTTAAATGTTATATCCTCCTCCTGCTTTGTTTAAATTTTTACAAGTAATTTTTTCTTCATATCATATGAAACACATTGTCATTAAAATGATTACTCAAGCAAAAGTTTATCTCAACCAAGTTTACATTTTGATATAACAGTAATGGATTTAAAAAATTGTACATGGATTCTGACATGAGCCACAGTTGTACCACTCAATGCAAAGCCTCCATTAGGCATATTGGTGATAAAATGTTTGTCAGGTATTGTTGCATATTTTCGTATTGTAATCTATTTATTGAATTGCAGCTCGGTTGTGATAACATGGTTCAATTTGTGCAAAACGTACAATCAATTAGTAGTTTAAAACAATACAAGAACTATTGTTGCTTGCATTATATTTGCATAGTATTTTATGACAAGGATTTCTAAAAGGAAATTTCTCATATAATTATTGGTATAATTTAGACTCACATTTTCGATCTTTAGAGAGTATAATGTTCATTATGTTTGGGCTATTTATATTAATATCAATATTAATATGCACTCAGGCTCCAAAATTGTCATTTATGTGATATGCTTTGCTGTTAAAAGAAGTGTAATAATAATCTGTGAATAATGCTATAATTATTATGAGGAAAACAGTGGTTGATTCATTTGTTTTGTTACCTGATCCAATTTTACAACTTTATGCGTCAGTTTATTAAAGAAAGTGGCAAACTTCGCGAAATTCATAAACCTGGCCGCCCAATATGTACTTTGAAATATTACAGATGTAATTCACGTTAGTATAAGTTAATCACAGAAGATTAGCATCAAGATCAGTCATATGAATTAACGAACTTATAATAGTGACTTAATCTTCTTAACTGAATGTTCGACTGTATTCAACCAGTCACGTCCAAATGACATTCGCGGATTTCTATGCACGGGAGTATTGCTTCGGGTGGACTTTATACAACTCTGATCTCTGCCAGATGCACATGTCACACAATCAACGGATAGCTTGTTGCCGATAATCTTCTTGTTCAGTACATGAATAAGTCAACAACAAGAGCGCAATATAGTGGCAGCATCTTCATTTTGACTCATTATTACTTCTTTGTTCTTGCGACGTTTTCCTGGATCTCCTCCTCTATACCCGTGGAATGGTTTTTAACATGAAAGTCTATTATCAAATTGAATCTCCAAACACGATGGATATACGATGTTGTCGCCCAAGAAACTGGGGGAAGAGTAGTGCAATATCTAAAGGTTGAATACAAAATCAGAATTGAATAACAATGGGCAAGTAGTAAAGAATCAAAAGTATGTGTCTTATTCCTCTTCTTTTTTATTACTAGTTAAATAAAGGCTATTATACAAAAGATAATGGAATAAATAATTAGTATATAATTTCGAGTCTAATGTTATTGCATGCATGATCGTTCTGCGGAAATATAGGAGATTCTGAATATTATACATGTACGAATGATCATCTTCGCGAAAAATTACTTGCGATTCTATCTGCCCAACAAAAACGAGACATATGTAGATATTATTTATTGTACAATGTATATATGAAAATATTCATAAATAACCGACTATATACAGGATATTTGTGTATTATTAATTACGCATATCTCTTAGCTTCCTAATGATTCCCACACCGTTTCCATCTTCGGACGATCACTCGGATTCTGTCTCCAACAGGATGTCATTATTTTCTCAAAGTTTGAGGGTGTGTCGGGGTCAATTTCAGGTCGTTTTTCCTCCCCTACTATTTTTTTCACTCTGCTAGGGTCCAGGACGTTCTCGTACGGTATCTTATGGGCCGATATTTCCCATAATAATATACCAAAGCTATATGGAAAGTAAATGAAAAGAGTCAGTACTAAGGCAATTGAGTTAAAGAGCATCATCAACAAGCAGCGACAAGCCTATGCACATAACAGGTCGGTCTCCACTACATAGCAAGTACGATGGTGGATAACGTTTCGTTTCTAACACCAACGACTTATTACCTGTATACATCTGTCTCCCTAGAGTATGGTACTCTGTTGTCCTTGAGTTTTTCGGGGGCTAACCATCTAATTTTCTGGTTCCCCTCTTCATATACGCATTTGTTGTCATGAATTATAGTTTGAAAACCGAAATTTGTCAACTTTGCCGTCATAAATTGATTAATAACTACATTTGGACTATAAAAGAAAATTTTTTTTTGTAAGTGAGGGTCAGAAACAGAAGCACAAATGAATGCTCTATAAAACATCGCCATGTGTCGCAAAAAGTCATCATCGTTGTCGTCCTGATGACATTAAATTACCTTCGGACATCTTGATGTAAAATATTTCTGCTATGACAAAAAGAAAGCGCTTGCGCTATATTACATGCTTGTCTAGTTTTCCATTCCCAGCTTAAGAGCGATGCATTTTTCTCGTTCTTCAGAAATTCGCAGAGATTCCCATATTCAGGATATTCTGTTATTAAATACCATGAACGGTCACTCAGTATTCCATATCTACAGAAGCACATCATCAACAAATATAAATAAGAAAACCTTATTGAAATGCTAACATTACAAAGTATTAAATACCAACTCTCTCAGTATATTCGAACAGTGACCAAGAATTATCTTGTTGACATATACTTGTACAAGAAATTTATTTATATCCTTGGTTCTGCTTCCGGCAACCTTTGTCTTTAAGGCAAACAAAGCAAAACAATATCTAACTTTGGAAGTTTCGGTACTTCTTGAAGGCCATCTCTTTCTCCGCTTGGCGCCGTCAAGGTTAGTGACTTCGCCAGCTGTTACATGCAGTTCGTCCCTTTGAGCTGCAGACAAATTTTTGACCTTATCGGCAACGGTCTTCATGTAATTGTCATAGTCTAGCATGTTTAGTGTTGTAAGCTATGGTGTGAAATTTTTTTGTGTCGTTAAAAAGAAGGCTAAAGGTCCCTTATATAAAATTTTCGCAAGCAATTACGTATTCATTCGTATTGCTGCGCCATCTGAATAGGTATTACAAGTTCTCGATGTGTGTGTTCGATCGGGTTTCGGTTATTTCTTTTAGCAGCAATATTCAAGAACATTCATCCAAGGTAATTATTTATAGAGAGAGACATGGTGTTTATTAGTAAGCAACACTAAAGTTGGAATTGGTGTTTACGACTGCATGTACTTCATAGTGAATGCCCACATAGAATGATTGTCTACTTAGTACAAGGTTTAATCCTCCCGGGTGTTATCATGATATGAGCCTCACTTGGGGCCCATACCGGGCTCAGCATGAGTAGCTAAACTATAATAAGTTTTATGTCATTTATGTATGGGGGCGTCTTCATACCATGTGCGCATATTGGGTTACTAATCAACGCTGCCAGGCCGTTTTTTCGAGAATATTCGGAAGGTAAAACGGCTAAAGAAAACACTATTACTATGCATATAATCTTTATTCTTGACCATAATATTGTTACCATTGATGAGACAATGGACGGTAAATTTAAGACTATTTGTGTGTTTTTTATATACTATTCTCGGGGTTTGATATCAGTAGTATGACAAACATAATATAATAAGCGATAGATAGTGCCAGAAGTTTTTGCCGATCATTCGCCGATCAGTTCAAACTTTTGCTTAAAGATAGTTCTCTGCTTTATCACACCAATAAGCGAACGTCTAATTGTTATGTGATGTTATCGAAATAAATGCGTTTGATTTGAACTAGGTCAACCTGATTTGGGTCAGATTGCGATTTGTGTCAGAACATGAACTTTTCACTTTCTGATTCCTTAATAACTTGAATGTCCAAAGCCTTGGCCTAAATGAAAATCATGTTTTCGACTAGCGGTGAATAAAATAAATAAAGCATTGCGGTTGTGACACATTCTTCCCATAGTAATAGGTCTAAATATTCATGTCCAAATATGGTATTCAGTTGTACACTAAATATGTAAATTCCAACACACCCTAAATATCGGCTATATATGAACCTCTCTAAATTATTTAGTTTAGGGCTTGACAAATACTAATGCATACCACTCTTCACAAGTCAATGCTGTACCAAAATTTCCAAGAATCATAATATCATATTTTCCAATATGATTTCCATAAGCGAACACTACTGTAGTCATCTAGTCGTTTGACCCCAAATCGCAATTTGACCCAATTCGAAATAGGCACAGATATTACACCAATAAGCGAGACGTGATCTCATCAACGTAAAATGTATTTATTTCGATTAGGAGACTTTATATATTAGGAAAGAGGCTTTGCATACGAAAGGCTCAAATAATTATTACCTAAAATAGGCCCGCGTATATCGAAAGGAGTGCATGCCCTTACCTAAATATATATGCAAATTGATTCGCACGAATCTTGTCAATTTATAGACAATTATTCGGAAATGAATATCAAATTTGCGATGAAATTAATTATAAACTTTCTTCCTGATAGGTCAATAGTACACGTATTATTGGGGATGATACAGAATGTAAAGCATTCTATTCAATACTTTCCTGTTACAGCACAAACGAGGATCAGCCATTATGATATTCTATGTATACACGACTAATTTGTGCTTCCTACAGCAATGTATTAGTTAGTAGAATAATAACATTGTCCGAATATCCGTACAAGATCCGAATAAAAACTTCTGAATTCATATAATAAGGACATTGCAATTTTATTTTAATTGGTCAAACACTGACAAGCTGACAGAAAATGGATATTAAGTAAATTGGAGAGCATTTTGTCGTGTGTTCAATTCGCTCATTAGTTTTCTTGCTTCTTCCTTTGCCTATTTCAATCAAAGTTCAATCGTAAGATGTATTGTGAGTATACCAGATACATAGGCCCCTTGTTTTACAAAATTTTCTAACAAATTCGGACAATGCAAAAACTAAACCACACCATTAGTGCAATTCTAAATAAACAAATAAAAATTCATCGACATTACCGCATCACCATATTCCATCATTTCTTGGGCGTGTAAAGTTGCTGCTGCTATATCGCCCTTGTCGCTTTTGTAATATGCCAAGAATATATGCGCATGTTTGGCTTCATCTGAATCGATCGCCTAAATTTGTCGTTAATATAGTTGCGTCAATATTCAATCTTCTCAGTCCAAATCTAAACACCCTCTTAAAATCGCTATTCCTCATTCTTCCAAAACCCAACACCCTACGTACAGCTACTTCCCGGGCCTTCTGCTGTAACACCATTTCAAAATAATTAGCTGCCTTATCCCGATTCAATGTCTCGTACAATCGCGCCAACTTTATAATAGCCGCGGTAGACGACTCTATGTCATTGTCGGTACAGCCTAGCACACGTTGATAACATTTTATTGCCTCTACTTGGAGAGATTGTTTTTCATATAGAGCTGCTAGAGCACCCCACATCCGTGCATCGGATGGACTGTAGAGCATTGAGAAGAAGAAGGGTCAGAGGAAAAGATATAAGAATAATAAATCAGTGAGAGGAATGTAAGTAAATCGACGAAACGGAAAGAGCGATTAGACTAGACATATTTGCTGTAATTAAGAATATTACGCGTATCAATAAAAAAAAGCATCTACTATTTTGACTACTATTCATTCTTGCAACCACAATAATTCACGTCAACCACATTACCGCAGGACGACAGCGCGTTGGTAATAATACATTGCATAAAACGGCATCTGTAAGCATTCATATGTCTGTCCCAATCCAAACCATGCACGATAGTCACGAGGATTAACCTCTAGGAAAGGGAGGAGAAATTAAATATGGATGGACGCGAAATTAAACAAAGACTGACATTGATTGTGATAGCGATCACTACAACAATAATGACTTCAAAATAACCAGTTTTCCTTTTCAACTCACACAAATATACTCCTTTATCCCCTCGAAAAAACTCTTACCAAGAGCCCGCTTATAGGCAACAACAGCAGCGTGCGTGTTCTTCAGTTCAACGTATTCATGTCCCATCAGTGTCCATGCGGTCAAGCAGTTACGGTTAACCTGTAGGGCGCGTTTGAAGTAAGAAATTGCCTTCTCGCGTTCGAATTTTAAGCTGTAGTAATTTCCTAAGATTTTCAAAATTGGGGGGTTGGTGAATACAGATTTATGCCAATCATGCAATAGCTTATGATATAAATGCGTACTATGTTCTATTCTCTCATAATTTTCTTGGCTCACCCTCCCTCATCGATTCTTATATCTTACCAACAATACACATGGTTTCCGATCGATATTTATCCGTAGCAGAACTCATATGTGCTAAATAACTTAATTTGGCTTTCTTCTCCATTACATACAGCACATTTGAGAATATATCCATATCATCCAGCCTATATGGATCTGATTCAATGAGAGAGTCGAATTCTTGCTCTGCTTCTGCATAATCTGTGCGATTTCAGAATGGACGAGAGTTTGAAAGAGAAATTAATACACCACTTGATATTTCACCCACCACCCACCTTTTTTTTTCCTCTCTTTTTCTATCCCTTTCACTAACTTTGATTATGATAAGCATAAATAGCTTTCTGCGTCTTAACAAAGTTATTATTTTCAAACACCTTGGGCACTTCTTCAGTCATCTGATTAAAATTCTTGGCATTATCGTGCAATTCCACGGCACAATATAATTGGAAAAATTTGGTCATGAATGACTGTGGGAGGTGGGTACTTATGTGTTTTGCCTTGTGGATCAAGAATAAGGGGAGGAGAGGGTAAAATTGTAAGTCGGGAATCATACAGACTATGCTATGGTTATTCCTATCCTTAGATTCATATTAAATATCACGCTATCCTAAGCTAAATCCAACACATTCACTATCATTTCATTCAAACAACAATTCTCTTTAAAGTCCCAATCTTTCTTTCTCTCCTCATTAAATCATTAAAACAATACCGCACTCTGGTTAGCAAATGTTCCCACAAGCTCAACCCATGCACTCCAGTTGTATGGGTATGCATTAATCGATTTTAAGAGGACTTCTGTTGCTTTTGATTGTGCACAGCGTTGACGAAGGATTACACCATAGCTGGATTTGCGAAGAAAAAGCCGTGATTGGTTAGGTTACAAGAAAAGGTTGATTAACACGTAATTTGATTCAATTGAAGGTGGGTTATTACAATCTTTTTCTCCTTCCACTTAACTCACATGTACAATAGAAAGCCATCCATTTCTCCGTTGTTGTACCAGGTTTCAAGTTCATCAAGAAGTTCAAGTAGTTCTTTATTAACAGCTTTTGGATCATCAAGCGGACCTTGATGTTCAAGCAAAGGCAAGCATTAGTTATGAACGATTAGCAACGACATAATTATCAATATTATTAGTAAATAAGGCAATCTTTAGATCATAAAACACTCTACAATTCTGTCTCTCACCCCTATTATCCTTCTAACGCCTTCATCACTACCATCTCGGCCGCCAATTCATTTTCTCTTACGCTACCTACAGTTCGGTTCCCTTCCCACACTTACTCACTCATGATATCGTGGTTATCCTCCTCTTTCCGTTTTTCTCCAGCCAAATACTTTGCATAAACTCTCAGAAACCTCTGCTTGACGCCCACACAACCATTCAAGACATAAGCAGCTCTGTCGAACTCTTTGACATCGAAATATGTTTTCGCCAGCAGGTATTTATCTTGTTCTTCTTCATCCGCATTGGAGTGCGATGGATAAGAGCTGGATAATGGTAGCGATGATGACGATGTTGCGGCTGTAGTTGTTGTGGTAATTTTTGGAAGAGATGCTAATGTTTGGGCGGCCCTAAATTTGTAGTAAGTTAGGAATTAATAATGATGTCTTTAAGGAAAGGTAACAGATGAACAGATAATAGAAATTGGTTAATAACGCGGATAAGGAATCAAACACGCACGGTGAACAAATTTACATCTGAACTAGGTTAATTCTTCAATTAAATTATAACTTAATTCTCGCCTTTCGAATTCTATCCACTACAATTCGTCATTACCATTTAGCGGCAAAATATAAGCCCCTTTGGGAACACTCATGCACCGAACGCCGCAGAAAGCCTTTTATGCTTTCTAATTCCTGTTCATTATCGATTGCATCCATCGAAGTGAAATGATGAAACTCGTACGCGATGTGCACCGACGATTGTTAACGCCATCATGCGCCATCATGCGCCACGGAAATATCGGGAAATTGTTTATCCTGTGTTTGCACACTTTCGTTATATGCCCACAACATTCAACTTTGCGCTGACTTTACTTATACCCGAAAGCAAGCCACTTTTTTTACATAAACCCTAAGATATTCTTCCGTTAGGTGTGGTAATGTATCATATAAGATAGCGAAAGGAAGGTACTTCAAAATATCTTGTCCAAAGGCGCTTTTCTTGTAACTTTTCAACGTTGCTTAAGAATATTTTTGAGCGGTTTTGTCCTTCCATTCTTCTTTATAATTGTCCCAGAACCTGTTTAAAAATATATCAGCAGCTTTTGTGATTGTCGTAGTGTATTAAACAATTCAATTTACTGTATCGAGTGACTATTACTCACATACCCACTCTACGATGATATTACTTCCCGTACTCTTATCAAATGTTTTAACAGATCATTTCACTCTATAACCACTACTTACAACAACTTACCACCATGACCAATCCACCGTCATTCGCAACAGACTTATCTGTCTTCTACTCAATTGTACTCAATTGGTAGATAATCAGATCACGAGATGGAAGCAGGGACGTAAAGCTGAAACGCGCCGATTTAAAGAAGGAATTATAGTAGAGTGTTGTATGGGGAGCGAAGGGCATGGAGAGAAAGCATTGATTATTAGGCAGATGGTGTTGCTTTTAATAAACTTACGTTGGTGCATAATGGAGGGAAATGAAATGGCCATCTCTAATAGTTTGCAAACGCATCGACCGACTACTTCACTAGGTGGTTTTGTTTCGTTCATTTCTGAATATCTTGCTATAGCAATTGCTCTTTTAATTTTTCTTTTGATCTATGATCCAATAACAAACAACCAAGACTTCCAAACCGTAATCCCAAACCAGTAACCTCTGCTAGATGATTTGGGAATTATATTCGAATAGCTGAGATGTATTCGTGCAAAGTTATGTGTGGATTTAATTTTTAAACGTTTTGTTCGAGTTGCAGAACCTGATTTTAGCGTTTTTAATAGAATAAAAGCCGGCTCTAGGTAAATTCGTGATTTTACTATATAACATATTGCAATTTGTGTATATATTATCTATAAGGTGCGCTAAATTAATTATTAATTTCACTGTGATTGCATTGCTCGTTATGCCAATATTCCGGTAACTTTGAGACGGGAGTACTAATGCATGCTGCTGGCTTCGCTTTTGTATTACCGTTTTTGGTGCCGACGCCGGCAAGCTTTTTTTCCGAGTGCGTGAACCAAACTTTTACTTCTTATACTCTACGCGTAAACTGTGGTTGGACGTTAGGTATTCCTGGAGAATGTTACCGTTGATGCAATGCAATCTTCATGAAATTCCTCTTTCCACACTCTTCCCCAACCAGATTTTTGAAACTGTGAAAACGTAGACTCATTTGTCCAGACTATCTTCTAAAGTCCAGTGTCTTCTTTCTATTGCCCAAGCAAGTCATTTGGATTTGCTGATTGCTGAAATTAAAGGTTTTTTTCGAGGAATACAAGAATGTAAATTTTCCTCGAAGAATTGTTAATACAGATATTTGTTTGTTGATTTAGCAGAATATATATTAATATTAGCAATTTCTGCTAGATTTCTTCAATCTTTGCCTTTTTTGACTGTCGATCGACCTGATCGTTTTCCCTGATTCATAAGCTGCAAGATACTGTATCTTGCAATTGTCGTTCGATGACATCCTACAACTTTTGCAATTTCTGTATTATTGTGGCCTAATTTTTGGCCGCAATGATACTTTCCTTTTGTGCAGAAGTTAATTCTTTACCAAGACCCATTGCGCGAAAAATTGAAAATGATAGAAATTTTTAAACCGCGTTTTTACGATCCGTAAGATTAAATCAAAACAATAAACAACAACCCATTTAAGTAATATATATAAGAATCACATGGGCAAGTCCATATTAACAATTTTAATTTCGACCGTGCAATACTTTTGATACCCCCTGTAGGTATCCGTGCCATCATCATCTGCTGTTATTGCCATGTTATATGCAGTGTGTAGCTCCATTCACATTACCAATCAGCAATTCGTGTTTGACTTCGCCTACTGCAACTAACCAGAAGCTGATCCCTTGCTCGAGCTCTTCACGGTTATTGGCGCTACAGCGAATAACGTCTGGACAGACTTTTGTCACTGCGCACAAGGAAGGTAAAACCCAAAGTTCCGGTCTCAGCAGATTGCGCAATCTTTGATTATTAGTTGCTTCCATGGTTCTCAAGAATAGTTGCCGAGCACCCACTGACCTTGGACGATAGGTGAGGAAAAGCAACGCGTTTGTTGATCAATTTTGAATGACGCGGCGAATGCGTCGTCTAGAAACGTTTCCCAGAGTTCTACTGGTTCATTGGGCACTTTTCGCAACGCTGCGTTGGTTGTGCTTTTGGTCAGACTCCGATAAACAGAAGGAATGGGCAGAACGTGCTGGCAAGCTCTCGTTCAGTAAAAAGTTGCCCTGATATAATGGTTAACATAGAAAGGAAGAGACCAAGAAAGGAAAGACTGGTGTCAATATTGCAGTATATCAAACTTTCTCTCAATGGATAGATGAAAATAGGTACACAGTGGCTCTCTTTATAGTGGAGACACAAAATCCAACAAGTTTCTACACTATTAACTATAACAAGATATATGCAAAAAAGAAATCTCATCATATAGTGTATTTTAATAATATGGGGCATGCAAACATTTGACTATGCGAGTTAAAAGTGGGTGTGGCTGAAAATTAACCAGTGACTGATGATGGTTTTGCTTTAGTATTAGTGGCATAGCTGCAGCTCAGACATAAGTTAGAGACTATTAGTTTTTGTTATGGCAAATATGACTGAAATTTAACTTTATTTTTATTCAAACTAGCATAAATGTTTACCTTAATTAATATTAAAATAAGTTAAAATCAATAATCCAGGAATATCTAGATAAAGAAAAAATACTTAGTAAATTTACTAATCTTGAAATTACTTCCTTAATTTCAATCAAGGTCATCTTTAACTTCAATTTGAGCAATGTGTTGAGTTTGCTGTTTTCTTAAAATTCAACCTCACTTTCAAGTCTTTGAATTTTATCTAACAATTCTTGCCTTTGCTTACTATGCCAATCCTTTGAAACTTCTAAGGCTTCCAAGTGAGAATTAATTTCTTCCTTAGCATTAGTTAGTTGCTGTTTCAAGTCTTTATTTTGTTGTTCCAATCTACTCACATAACTCTGTTCTATTATTTCTGTTATGGTTGGAGTTTTAACTGGTGGTTCATCTTTCCTTAAATCACAGAAGCAATCTATTATATTTCTCTTAATTCAACCACAATCATTACAATGGGGTAGAGTATCATTATCAAGGTCTTTTCTGCATTCAACACAGATATAAGCAATATCATTATAATCATTATTGCCTGTATTATAAGAGATTATTTATCCTTTTGTAAAATGTAGGTGTTGAATTTTTTTTTGGCAAGGATGGCAGTTCTTGAAGTTGCTTGCCCACTAAATGAACTCTTTCTAGTTCCTTAATTCTTTGGTCTTTGCTCTTTTCTAAATCTTCTAATTTCTTCTCAAATTCTCTCCTTGTTCAGTAAGTTGATAACCCTTTTTGCTTCAGTTTGAAATATATTCAGAGTAAGCAGAGCCTAATTCATTAGTATTAGAACTTGCAAGAAATCCATCTAGCATTTCTTCAATGGTAATGTTATCAAATCAAACTCCTTTATATTTTAATTTACAATTCTTGGCTCATTCCCCTCTACTACTACTGCCATTCTTAATTTGCCCTCATCCATTCATTTTTTGTTTAATTTTTTGTATCATCATATTCCCTACATACTAACTTCACCCTTTTCATCAATGGACTGACCAGTGTGACGCTACGCTATAAACGGTGAAGTATTCTCTCCTTTATTTCTGCGTTCCTCCGACGGTGCCGCAGCACAAATCGATCAGCGG